TAATATGCTGTCTGTATTTGGGGAGTTCATTTGAGAGGTTTGCGCTGTTAAAATCTCCCAGTATTATGATGAAAGAGTCCGTGTGTTTTTTCTCCACGTCTGTAATCAGCTCAGCGAGATGTTTTTCAGCGGCAGAAGTGCAGCCATGCGGTGGAAAATATGAGCCGATTATTATAAACGAGGAAAACTCTCTCGGTGAATAAAACGGTTTATAGTTTATAGAAAATGACTCCAGATCAGGACTACATGTTTTCCCCAGCACTTTTATGTCTCTGCACCAACCTTCATTTATATAGAAGCAGATTCCGTCTCCTCGCCTCTTCCCCGATAGCTCCGCGCTGCGATCCGCTCTGAACAGCTGGAAGCCCGGCATCAGCAGAGCACAGTCCGGTATGTTTTCACTCAGCCATGTCTCTTTAAAGCAGAGAATCGCTGATCCGCGGAGGTCCGTGTTTTTAGAGGTGAGAAGAAGCAGCTCGTTCATCTTGTTACTTAGAGAGCGGACATTTGCCAGATGGATTGAAGGCAGTGGTGTGCAAAGTCCTCTTTGGCGGAGGTATACCAGCACGCCAGCACGCTTCCCCCTCCGACGCTTTCGGCGCAGTATCCCATAGAGTGCCGCAGCTCCACTCGCCAGAAGCTCAGTGAAGCTAATGTGAGCAAAACAATCTGGTGTCTGTCTCAGGGAACCAGCTCCACTTTATGCTCCTTCTGAGGCTTGAGGTGAGTGTGGCTCAGTGGGAAGAGTAGCAGTCTTGCAATCTGAAAGTTGTGGGTTTGATTCCAGCTTCCTCCTGTCAAATGTCAATGTGCAAGGCACTTAACCGCTAGTTGTCTACTGCTCAGAGTATCGGTGTATGAATTTGTGCATGTTTTTGAGTGCCTTTGGGTGAATGTGGCTCTAGTGTAAAGTGCTTTGAGTGGTTGGTATGACTGGAAAGGTGCTACATATTAGTTCTGTCCATTTACCATTCTGATGAGCTGCAGCTGTGGAGCCTACACCTGCCAGTCACACCCTGGAAGGAGAGGAGAAGAGTCACACATACACAAACCTGCTCACAGTTCTGTGGATATGATGTTAAGAAGGAACTGTTTTTAACAAAATCACTGGTGCTACACTTATTTCCACTTCTGTTAAAACAAATATATGCAAGTAAAAGCAGCATCGGAATGTCCAGCCATCATAGGCTTTAGGAAGGAGATGGGTTTTCTGTTCCAGAGATGAACTTGTTTTGGTTTGAAATGTGAAATGTTTGATATCAACCCAAAAACAAATGTAAAGGACCTTGTAAAGCTGGTAAGAAAACATCATATCCAGAGTGAAACGAGTCCTGTACCGACATGAACTGATAGACCAGTCAGCAAGGAAGAAGCTATTTATTGCAAATGCTCCGAGGGACAAAGGCCAGAGCATTTGCAGACACGTGCTGTGGTCCGATGAACCTATAATTAAAGTGTTTGACCATAACAACTATTACTTCATTTGGAGAGAAAAGGGGAAGCTTGCAAGCCTGAGAACACCATCCCAACTGTACAGTACAAGGGTGGCAGCATCATGTAGTATTGATGTTTTGCCCTAGGAGGGAATAATGTGCTTCAATTGATGGCACCATGAGAGACCAAAACACAATGTGGATATATTGAATCAATGTCTAAAGCCTTCATTCAAGAAGTTAAAGTTTGGGCAGACATGACTTCCAAATGGACAATGATCCTAGGAACACAGCTAAATTATTTACAAAGGGGCTTGAAGACAATATAATTAATGTTTTGGAGGGGCCATTACATTTTAGTGTGAATATTTGTTGCTAAAATAAAAGGTTGTGTTGTAATGCTTTATGTATCTTAACAATAAACATGCAGTGTTGTACAATATGCTCTAAATACACAAAATGGCATGCTTTTTATTGACGGTTATTGCTTTATTGCCAGTATTATTAGTCTAACTTGCTAATGTAAGTTATTTTAGTTGTAAAGATCTGCAAGGAACAAAATGGAAATAATTAAGGAACATTCATTCATTTAAAACATCTAAATTTGCCCTGATATCAGAATGCTTTAATTGTCAACACAGAAATTAGCATAATCTGGAATTTAACTTTATTTATACATTGTTTACTTAAGTAGATCATTAACCTTAGCCAGCTTTAGGTAAAAGGCTGAAATCAATGAGTAATTTATCATGCATTAGCCTGTAAATTAGCTTAATATCATTTTTTGTATTGCTTTGGTGGATGGCATAAATGCAGGCAAACATTCGATTTCTACTTCCTCTTCAAGTGCAGCGATAAATCAGATGGACACAATAACATTAATGCTTTATGCATATTCGTCGTTGTGATCTTCTGTTGCCTGCTGATGGAACGGCACAATCACTGTGTAAATTATTGATACGACACACTGCAGCTTTGCATGTCAATACATCTCCCCGGAGACGGGAAAGGATACTGAATACTGATCAATAGAGACAGATGGGCGGATTTAAAAAATCGGAACAGAAAGAGCTACACAAATGGCAAGGAATTAAATACAAAACTGTCTGTTGCATTTACAGTATTGCATTGTATTTCCTTAACATTAACACACAGTGATAACTACCCTCTCATGTTGTTTTACAATATCAAAGGTCAAGATGTGCTTGGGTTAATTGAATTCCAGATTTATTGCTGCACAGCGGTGCCTCTCCACAGGGTGACGGCTCTGAAGGGCTCGATAATAACACTCTGTGGGTTTTGCTGAATCAGTGTGTGTATTATTAGTGGATCAGGGAGTCGAGAAAAAGCCAAACATTATGTAGCAGCATGAAATATTGAAGAAACTCATCTTTATTGTATTCCTTGGGAGGATGCTGCTGAAGGCTTGATCAGCAAACTCTTAGGCTTGAATCAAAGTCTGAAGCCCTTTAAATGTACATTCTTTTAAATCAGGGTTTCTTAACCCTGGTCCTCAGGGCCTAGTGTTCTGCATGTTTTAGCTGTTTCCCTGCTGCCACACACCTGACTTAAATGAATGGGTGATTAACAGGCTTCTGTGGCACTTGAGGGCACCCTGAGGAAGTAATGCAATCATCTTAATCAAGTGTGCTGCGAGCAGGCGTGCAGGACTGTGGGCCCAGAGGACCATGTTTAAGAAACACTGGGTTTATTATTTTTGCCGACAGTTTGTGTTTAACTGCCTACAGCATGTCAAAAATACATTTAGGGAAAGTCTGTCTGGATTTTAGATAAAAGTAAGCAATCACCATACATTTAATATTAATAAAATTCAGCTATTCTGAATAGGAAATTTGTTGAAGAACTCTCCTTGGAGCTTCAGGTGGAAAAATTAAAATCAACATTTGTTTTTATTGGATGAGGGTCTGGCCATTTGACTTGCTGATGCTGGCAAATTGTTATCATTTTGTCATACAATGGGGGAAACTTTGATCAGGCAAACACAGGGACCCCCCAAGATGGTTTATACAGAACATAGAGCTCAGAATTTACTGCAATATTTCAGTTCCTAACAACATTTTAACCAGGATAAAATTTCAACACACTTCATTTCACTATCCATTTTTCAACCCATTTTTCCCACGTCTTAAACAGAAGGCAGTGTAATGTTTTCTATTTCTTTAAAAAATTGCTGGTAGGGAAGCTAGCCTTTTCATTCTGCTCATGCTGTGCTGCCAACTTTGCTGTAAAGAGCGTCTCTCCTTCTGACATTACTACGTCTGTCTGAATATGTGCATGTGTGTGTGTGTTTTCAGGCAGGGGTCAACATTATTACTCCTATGACTCACATTTAAAGCAGGGTTAATGCCTAATTACACATTGAGGCCACCCTCCTGTCTTCATTCTCCTTATTATTCAAGGCCATGTTTACACACTACAAAGCAATGACAGCCAAATTGGAAGATCCAAATGTCACATTCAGGGTTATTCTTCTGTGAATCTTCGAATGTCATCTTCATGGTTGCTGAGCAAATCTACAGACAAGGTAGAGAAGCAAACAAAATTAGAAATTATAAAAAGCTGTCAGTGATCTGTGATGGAGACAGTGGTGGAGATGATTGAAATGTATTGCTATGTGTGCTTTAAAGATCTCACAAACACGTTTTCTACATCCTGTCAACAGCAGCTATGCTCAGCTGCATTCGCTGTTATGTCCTGTATAAAGTAGTCAGCGGGGGTGAAGCATTTCAGAGTTGTAATTAATAACTTCTGAAGTTATGCCTATCTGCTTGCCCACTACCCCCAGCCTACATGATAATCTGTGGTCTAATCCAATCATGCGCAGCAGATGAGCAGTGGCAGTACTTCGGGAAATCACCTCAGCTTGCACATTTGGATTTGCTGAGTTCACAGTAAGAGAAATATAGTTGGAATTTGCAAAACCTTCTCCAGTCTCTTGGTGCATTTGCACTAAACCCCCCCCTTTGTCTGTCTTTTAAATTGAATATGGCAGCAATAGTTTATGTTTCTATTTCAGGCACCATCAAAGCATCTAAATGGAAGATTAAAACCCATTTTGTCACATTCTGTGGCTGAAGTGGACCAAAGTGCAGCCAAGAGCTGGACAGCAGCATGTTAAAGGACGGCTTCATCTTTATTTGAAGGTTTTCCACAAACGTAGCATAAGTCACTGCAGGAATTTACATGAGTTGAGCAAAAAACTTACATGAATTCATAGAGCAGAAGCATAGCACAAACTGAACATAATCATGGTAGTGAACGGGAGGAACCAGCGACGAACAATGACACTAGAACAACTAATATACAGAGGGTAACAAAAGACAGGCAATCAAAAGAACTAGGAACAGGTGTGACATGGAAGCAGGGAGGCTAAAGGAACAAGTGAAACTAATACAAAGACTAAAGCATGGGAGAAGAGACTAATAAACAATACAGAGAACAACCTAAGCAAAACTATAAACAAAGATAAATAACCAAAAGAATCAGGAATAACCATGAACTAAAGGAAACTGAGAAACTGGAGGGAACAGAAGAAACACAACAACCTAAGATCTAAGAAACTGGCAAAATATGAATTAACAAAAGAAATCATAAAGAAACCCTAACCACAAAAGTAAACAAACCTAAACCAACACTGACTGAACTAACTGAGAAGGAAGCAGAGAAAGCGAGGCCTAGAGTAAATGTAAACCAAACGTAAACAATAACTAAAGCTAACCTATAAGGAGGGACTGGAACAATAGAGACTAAACTGAGGAACTGAACTAGTAAAGAACTACGAATAAAAAGAGAAACGAACACCAAGCAAACAACCACAGAAGGGGAGCCAAAAGACAAGAGGAGGAACAGGAAAAAAAACAACTAATAAACTAGAAGAGAGAACAAATACCTAACCATAAATAAACACAGAGATACTAAACGGGAAACTAAACTAGAGAACCCAAGGAAGCCAAAGAACTATAATAATAATAATAATAATAATAATAATAATAATAATCATAAGAAAACAATACAAAGTAATAAGAAAGCAACCGCTAAAGGAACTAAGAGCGAGGGGAGAGAAAACAACAAACACTAGGAGGCAGTAGAGAGAACAAAACAATTAGGGAGCAGAAGGAAATAAACAAACAAACATGACTACAAAACCCAAACTAGAAAACACCTAGACGAAATGTAAACAAACACAAAACCACAAAGTCCAAAATTTCAAAACCTGACACATTTAGTCTTCTGAAAAATATATTGTTTTAAATTCTCAGACAATTTGTTTTAAAGACATCAGCAGAATGTTTCTGTGTGTTCATTTATCATCATAACAGTCCCTTCTTCACACAGAACAGTT